ATCTGAAAAGAGAGTGGGCTGTAAAAGCAGAGGCTTGCGCTTCAGGCTGTGCGCTGGAACCTAATACTGTTTTCCAGCATTAAAGAGTGGCTTTTCTTTTCAGGGCTTAGGTGAGCACTAAATATTATATGTGTGTATGTGTCTCACAGAAGTTTTTGTCATCCCCTCCACCCCCCCAAAAAACCAAACCCATCCCTATTCCACAACTTGGATAGTGTTTTTCCTTTTTAAAGTACTTACATAGTTTTTAAAAACACAGGAATAGCAAGATGATAGCTTTAATATAGCTAGCAATTAGATGTGTGCATCTTTAAAGCACTGGTTGTTTACCAAGCAACTGTATCTCTTCTTTAACTCACAGTTTAGACAAACTTCCAGTGCATCACATGTGCTTTGTACAATCACGTTCCATTCCTCACCCTGCATTGTACTTGTCCCCGTGATTCCAGCGGGACCGAGACAGAAGAAGCCATCCTAAGGGCAGAGCCACTTCCTTGCAGCTGAGTTGCTTGCCTGGATGCCCCACAGACAAATGATGCTTTCCCCACTGAAACTTTTCTCAAATACTTTCCTATTCTGCAGACCCCACGTAATTTGGTTAATTTTATTTCTGGGCTGTATGCACACGACTGATGATTTTCAGAAATAGAAGCAGAAGTGGATCCAGTCCACTCTAAACATTCTTTGAACTAAAGCAAACTGTCTTGAATAAATAGATGTACTTTAGATGCCATCGCAGAACCAGAACTTACACTGTCATAAAAAATGCATGCTGGTGATGGTGGGAAGTAGAAAAGGAACAGTTAAAATGATTAGATTCTGCCCAGTATTGTAAAGTGTGCTATTATTTTTAAGTCAGTAGAAAATAGATTCTGACATTAATTTCTTGTGTGTTGTGTGAGTTCTCAGCATCCCTATGCACCATCTTAGCTTTGTGTTGTGTCAGATTTGCTTTTGTTTTGTAGCGGAGAAATCCAATCCTAAATGCACATACACCCCACCCTCATTGCTCTCTAATAAACTCAGCTCTAGCAGTGCCCTTTTTTTTTTATCCCCTTTGTTTTCTTTTTCTTTGTATTTTTGTTTGGTTGGGGGTTTTTCGTTGTTTGGTTTGGTTTGGTTTGGTTTGGTTTGGTTTGGTTTGGTTTGGTTTGGTTTGGTTGGTTTGGTTTGGTTTTGCCCATACTGCTGCAACCAGACAACAGAACCTCAGGAGAAAGGAGAGCTGCCCATGGTTCCTGACAGAGGACAGAGCTGAGGAGCAGTCCACCTGGGCTGCATAGACAGCAGCACCTTTTCTCAACTCCCACATCAGAGCAGAGATAGAGGCGAGCACTGAGGCAAGACAAGCGAGTAGGAGCAGCAGCAGAGAGACAATTCCCAGGTGCACGCTACTTACATCTAGTTTTTAGTGCAAGAGATGGATTTTCAGCACATCCTTGCAGCTGCCCCTTCAGGACTCTTGGAAAAGCGGGAGGTTGGCCACTCAGTGCAGCCCAGCTCTGCTCCCCTGAATTGTTGTAGTGTTCAGCTTCTGCCCGAATCTGGCTGGTATCCCTGCAAAGAGTTTGGGACCTCTGTTACCTCTCCTTGCCAGACACAGACCCTGACTGCATTCATCAGGGCAGCTGTTAAATAACATCTCACTGACCTCCCTGAAGAACCGGTGACCCTTTTTCAGGTCTCACCCTCTTTTTCAGCTCGCTGGCCATTTATTTACCACTGATCCTGACTCCCCCTCACCCTATCTTCTCCTGTAAGCATCCAACAGTAGCTAAATGTCTCCGCAAGTATGTGTGGAAACACAGAAGTAACCCAGCACAGGCCCTCTAGAAGCATCTTATTTCCATCGTTTTTCTTTTCCTGACGAATACACGGCTTGGGAAAAAGCTTCTCTTCCTAGGGCCCCGCTGAATTTTTTCTGTTCTTCCTTAAAACCAGGTAATGTTTTTGGTAAAAGAAGCTGGAAAAGTGTTTGATATGAAGCTCATCATTTTTTAGGAATTGATGACTATGGAAACACCTGGGCCATCTTTGAAATGTGAAGGAGGTAAGGGTATCTTTGCACAGCGAACTTCTCTTCTATGGGGCTTGCTGAGAACTGAGTAATCAGAAGGGAAGTAGCTGGATTTCTTAAGCTAATAATATTTATTTAACGTATGCATGCAAACTAGTGACAATCAGCGTGGTATAAAGTTGCCTGAATCACCTGTTAATCAGAATCATCTGCCAACAGAAAGGGGAAGAAGTGACCTCAGTGCCCCAAAGGTTTAAATTCCTACATAAAAGGATGTGGATCTTATAATGCATAAGCCTGCAAGTTTTTTGTATTGAATGAGAGGAAACAGCCGTCATGACACATAGAGACTCTCTGTGATTGCAGGCAGGTGGGATTCAGCCAGATGCAGATGGGACGTTTCTCTGTGCAATGTGTTCAGTCTCTCTTCCCAGGCTAATAGCAGCTTTCCCATGGGAGAGGCTGGCAGGGTCCTGGCAATTTACTCTTGACTGGGGGAAGCAGCACCAAGCAGATGGGCAGCTGTGCTCTGCAGCAGGTGAAATGGGATGGGGTTTCAGGTACCCCTCCCCTCCATGATTTTTGCTTGGATGTTGGGGTAGCATGAGGAAACGTTGCCCTCCCTTCCTCCCAGATTAGTCCCTGGCTCTCAAGACAAAGGTTGGGTCTTCATGCTGGGAAGAAAATGGATGGGCTTCTCTGTCCATAAACCACCAACAACATCCAGAGATAGCTCAGGATTTGACAGCTCTCATTTGCAATGAAAAGCAGCTGAGATCCCTTTCTCCTTCTGCTACGCAACAACCTCTCTCCAAACAGACACAGCTTTCCCCTGCTGTGGTCCCCAAGGACCTTACAGTGGAGTGGTGAGAATTTTTGTTGTTATGTGACAAAGTGGGAGCTGAACTCCTGAGAGATTTAAGCCCCTTGGTGATTTTTGAAGGCCCTCTGGATAGCTGTGTATAGCTTTGGGTTTAGACACCTCTGACAGTTCGACAGTTGGACTTCCTTGAGATTATGCAGAAAGTGTGGGAAAGAAGAGACAATTAAACACAGCCTTCTCAGCTGTGGTGTAGTGTGCTGCCCTAAATTCACCCTTCCTTTCCATTTTTTGCAAGGCAGCACAAGACCAGCCCTCTGTATTTCTTGAGTTCCCTGTGCTTGAATATTGTAGCAGTTATTTTGCTTCCTGGCATGGGTTTGAGCATTTCTGATGGACCTTACTTCTTGATCGAGGGCTGAAAAAGCAGGACTAAATCAAGAGATACAGACAGATGCTCACACCTCATTATGCCCGTTACCAAACATTTTTTCTCAGTTTTGTTTCTCACCACTGAAGTGGCTCCATGACCATGCTCAGATAAATGGTTCCTATGGATGTGGTGCTCCTTAAGTGTGTAAGATCTATTGAAGTGACAGACCGAGGAAAATAGATGTGCAGCACATTATGATCAATATATTTTGCGCGTGGTGCAGTTTTAGGGAGAGGAGACAGTGCTAAATAGGTAGAATGAAGTGCGACTAAAATGAGATAATTCCTCCCAAAGCTGGAAAGCAAGGTGGAGGTTATGCAGAGAACAGACGTGAAAATGTGAAATTAATAATAAAAATTTAACATTGTGAAAAGCTTAAACAAAAAATTTCTACATTAGATCCATCTCTCCACTCACTGTGTTTCAAAATCCCCTGAAAATCAGGATAACCTGGGGCTCACTAAAAAGGCTCATTTATGAGAATGGGATTCTCTGGTCTGGGTTACAGCAAGGGAACCTCAAAGTGAAATAGGAAGCTGAAAAGAGGGAAGCATCTTTCCATAAAGACCTCAAGAAAATTCCATGTGGCAAGAAAATGTGTCTTTTTTTTTTTTTTTTGTGCAAGCTTCATACATCAAAGTCCTATTTCTCTGCATCCTTTAAAACATGTGTGACCTCCTCACATGAGGCAAGCTCTAAATTCAAGCTTTCTGGGAAAAGACTGTTCCTCTTGCAAACGAGCATATAAAATCCTGAGCTTTGCTCAAAAGGAAGGAGTTAGTGGTTTTGTATGGAAAGTTTGATTGGTGAAGGGTTAGCAGGAAGCAACCCCTGCTCGGGTGCTCCCACATGCAACTGTGCTTTCTCGTTGTTCTGTGTAGTGACAAAGTTCAGGTTCACCGGGGGCTGTAAGCCTCTCTTCGTTAGCAGCTAACTAACATCCCTCTAAGAGGCAGTGATCAAAAAGCCTGGAGCAGCTCCCCGAGCTGCAGGAGAGCGAAGGGAATGTGTGAAGCTCAGGCACAAGTGCTAATCCTCAAGGCCCCGAGCGCCTCTTTCTTTAAGTGCAGCTCGGGGGTCGAAAAAGTGGGGAAGGATGCTTGGGGTTGCCGTGCCTGAGACAGGCTTTCCTTCAGGCCGATGTCAGGAGCACGCGTGTCCGTGTCGGTGTGCAGCCGCCACCCGCCCTCCTTGAACGGTTATTAAGTCCCTGCGGCTTGGGAACGCGGGTCATCTCCAGGAGAAGGGGGCAGGGTGCTGCTCTGAGACCCGATGCAAAGTTACCGGCTGGGTTGGGCTGGCGGGGAACGACCGAGCAGCCAGAAGCATCCAAAAACCCCCTCGGGATTCAGAGTCCCCACTCTTGTCACCCTCTTGTAACCAAGAGGTGAGAGATGATTTCAAGCAGGAGTGCTTTTGCTGTGGCAAGTAACACCGTACCTGGAGAGCAGGTACCTGCCCACTGACACCTCTGGGCCTTGGATCAGTTCCAGTAATCTCGGTAGCTTCTTACTGTCACATTAGCTAACCTTTAACCGCATCTCTAACGCCCGCTCCCCAGCCACTCTGTACTTTGCTCTATAAAAACAACCTCTGTTTGAATGGCCTTTGCAAACAAGCACTCGAGATGGACGCATTTCCAGAGTGCTCAACACAGAGAGCAGTGAAAACATCAGTGTTCTTGGGAAGACGTGAATACACCAAAGAAAAAATGAATTTTCATGTAAAAAGTGATTTTATTTTATATTTTCTCCAGAGTTCCTAGTGAAACTTTCCCATTATTGTAGGGATAAAAATACATATCAGGCAAGCTTATACCTCAGTAGTGAAACATGCCCTTCACAGTGTGGCTGCAACCTGTCCCCGTGAACTTGACTATGGTCCTAGCATTTCATCTTTGCGACAACAGAGAAGATTGTATTGTTTAAAAAGCACTGCGATAAAGAACAAAACATTAAGAGGACAGGACGGCCACAGATATAAAATAAATTAAAAGCATCTGTTAAAGTTTCTTTCCATATACAAAATAACTTTTCTTTTTTGGGGGGTAATTTTAATTTTTTTGAATTGACATCGTCTGTACAAAGATTAACCTTTCAACAGAAACCCTTTAAAAAGGCTGTTTTTACAAGGAAAAATGGGTCACCAAACAAGACATCAGTCTCCTGCAAACTGCTGAGCCTCTCGCCAGAGATGAACGTGCAAAGCTCTTGGGCCAGCCCTGCAGCGGAGCACAGTGATTCGCAACCCCAGGGCTGCTCGGCACCTCACAAAAGGTTCCCTGCTCCTTGCAAGTTCAGGGCCCCCAGGCAAAGGAAAAAACACAGCCTGCCCTGTGACCCTGTTCAGGGAACAGTGTCATTGGTTCTAGCGGGCAATTCTCCTGGGTTGAGGTATCGCATTGCAGGATAAGCAAGTTTTATTTTGCACTCTGTATTTTGCACACTTACCATGAGATTTCCTATTCAGTCTCCAAGAGTGAGGTTTTCAAGAGCTTTCTGCAGTGGCCTCCTCACAGTCTGCTCCTCTCTGGGGACTGTGCTCCCAGAGCAGCCGATCTGAAGGGAGAGCTTGCATAGCTCAAGGAATTCTCCTGCCCATCTTTTCAGCCAGCCATAAAAATAATTCACGGGCATCAGATAATACATAATTAGATGGGAAGCAGAGACATTTATCAATTAATAGTATTTCAAAAAACAGAACAGGTGGGAAAATCCCCCTGTGCTGATCTGAGATTAAAATGCTGATTAATAACGAGTTGGAAATTTTTTTGAGGTCCCTACTAATACAAAGTTATATACAGAAATCATTGGCTGTGTGATTAATAAGTTACCGATGCTAGACATGGCTTTATGTAGAAAGTTTCATTTACAGATTCAAATGCAGAACAAGTCATGGGCATAAAATGTCTCACTTCTATACGGTTAACTGAAGAGAACACACTCAGCATAGAGTTGGAAGAGGCAGATCATGTTTTGCCTGGAAGATTGTACCTGTTCTACATGATATGGTTCATGACACAGCCCAGCTGTAGCCCAGTGAAATCCAAGCGTAACATATTTATGGTTCGTTTTCAGGTGATGCTTTTAAGGTCACTTCCAGGCTGTCCCATCATGGCACTGGAAAGCATTGCCTATAGCCTTGATCTCAGCTTAGGTCCCAAAGAGTGACTCAGAGCACAGCTGCCTCAGACTGCTGTGCTGGGGAAACACCTGTATTTTGTTAGTACCTCTGTTCTGGAGTGCAGAAGTTGGGAAGCTTGGCTGCCAACACGCTATTCTCATGGTTACTCATCACCAGCAAGCTCACCTTGAACAAATAAATGGGACATACTGGCACAAAGCTGAGGTTGCCTTGTCAAGCTCTACCAAACCTGTTTTGACGCAAGCTCTCTACAAATTGAAGATTCTGTTTAGTTGGGTTTAGCATTTGAGCTTGTGTGTTTTTTAACAGTAGCCACTCTCACACTGATTTGTATAAATGACGGACTTACCTGCGCAGCGCTTGCAAAAGACAACTATTGGAAACCACTGCATCTGATTTTGCCTTCACGGCCTCATGTCTACTGAAAAATCCGAGCCAGCTTCCAGCTTAGCCAGTGACATCCCCCACGTGTCCCAGTGACACCAGGCCCAGGAGCAGACCAGTGGATTAAAAGGTGAGCCCCACGGTGCGGGCAGCCTGCGCACACCGCTACTTCTGCCTGTCCTCAAAGTCAAGACAGGACCCCACACAGCTGTGCATCAGAAGGACAGGCTCTTTTTCATTACTAAGACACAGCCGTGAAAAGCTCTTGGTTGTCTGCAACCGTCTGTATTTTCAGCCAAGGGGAAAGCACAGCCTTCTTCCTCCTGTTTTTAAGCCCATCTGATTTGCACAAGGGAACATCTGACTTCTCTCCTGCATATGGAAGTGGATCAGGTGAACCTTGATTGAAGGTACATAGCTTCACACTTATTTTATGCTTGGGTTTGATGGCAATTCTGCTTCTATGTGCTGAAGATGGCACTTGTTCTCTAGAAGTGGAGACTTTTCTCTTCCAGTTCCAGAGAACAGATCCTTCAAGGCAATATGCTGCTACAGACCTCTTGGCATCCTAACGTACAGCAATCAGGTTGGATAGCTGTGCTAATCAGCATTGCTTAATTGGAGCCAATAAACACGTATCCGCTGGCACCCCAGGAATCTGACTGCAGGGGTATACTGTTCAAGCAGGGTAAGGGAAGGGCTGCAAGCATAACGTGCATCTGGGACTAATTGGTGGTTCATTTTGTCTTTTTATTTATTTATTTATTTATTTATTTTTAAAAAACTGTCAGCTTCCACTGAGACTTTCTGCAGGTAAAAAGTGATTGCTGAAAGGGTCCCTAGGCTACCTATTCCACTTCCACACCTCTCACACCCTCAGACATCCAGGTTACTCAAGTTGGTAAACACAACGGCACCAGTGACCACATACAAAAATCAATGACTGAGCACTTAAACTAGCCTCCAATAGCTATGAAGCTGCCAAAAGGCACGTACTAGGAAAGCTGTTGCCACCTTTAACATGCCAAGGAATTGCTGACTCCAAAGCAGACAACTTAACTCTCACAATGATAGGGAATTAATTTATTCCCTATGAATATTTGCCCTTTAAATACACTATTTCAGAGAGTCGGTTATGTAGGTAACTTATGGAAAAGGTGGTTTGACGTTCACTCTTAGCGCAAACTAAAACATCCCTCTCACCAGTCAAAAGTGCTTTAGAAAGCATCATCCTCTATAGCTTGTGTTGGTGGAAATGGAACCGGGGTTCTGTCTAAAGTACTTCTGTGAACATTTACTCTGAAACAGAACAAACTTTTTGCAGATGTGCCTGAGATTCATGAGATGTCTGCTTTCCTGCTTGTAGTTTCTCAAATTAGTTTTTAAAAGAAATCTTAAATTGACAGCATAGGCACCAGAAATTTGATTTTCAGCGTAGAAGTGAACTGAGAAAAAAAAGTCCTATTTGATTAATGTAACAATCAAAACTCACCAACCAGAGTCAGTTTTGATCAAATAATTGTAGTGAAGGCCTACAGATAAAAATTATGTACCAAAGAATTTCACTTCAGGAATCAACTGCCATGATTTACTTGTAGATTATTTGCAGCTGTGTTCTAGAATATGTGTTGTGAACAAGTCACTCAGCCGCTTCACTGAGTGTGATAACTTGCATACCCTCGGCCTGCTGAGTTTCCACAGTGGTGTGAAAGAAAAGTCTTTGCTTTTGAGATACCACGATCATGCACGCAGCAGTACTGTGTCTTGCGTTCTTCTGACCGAAGGCACTGACACCTAATAAGCTGAAGTGCGAAGAATACATCAATGAAACAGAATACACACATGCAGTTGGTGACATGTCATACCAAGGAGATATATGTCTACGTTGGATTATCTAAGGCTCTTAGGATGTTGGGTTTGTTTTTCTTCCTTGCTGCGCTACTCAATAACCTAAGGCAGAAAGCTTAGCTTTAAAATGGAGAATAGTATATTTCTAATCTCCCTACCCATTAGTCACCATAAGAACAGAGACAAAAATTAACAGCTACTGCTGCTTCCAAAATCTGGTACAAAAATAGATCAGAATGTCCTTCTGGCAGTCTCAACAATCTTGAAGAGTCTTATGAAAATTCTTCTCTCATCTCTTGATTTCAACAGCAACAGCCAGTCCCCATTGCCAAGACTCGCGTCTTGGTCAAATTCAGAGACGAATGAAGTTTGTATTCTTTTTATTTGGAACTGCTATTCAAAATCCATTCCATTTCCATCCTCATTGTTTGGATTTGTTGACATTTTTTTCTTTTTTTTTTTGTCCAAAGAAAACGCGTTGGCAGTGCAAACAAAAAGTAGATATCATGAAACACCCCTCCGCTCTGCCCCACCCCCCTGCCCTCCCCCAGAATAGCAAGTGATCACCTCAGCATTTCAAAAGGGTCTCCCGAGATGTTATCTGCACGCACAGGATTCCACTGTCATGTTGGGGTACACTTTAAGAACCACATTTTTATTTTCGTCGAAGAATAAGATACTAAGAGAAGACATTTTGTCAGGAACACAGCAAGGCTCAGGAATGCCTGGGACGACCCCGACAGCTCTCACTATGCTTTGGATGGTGGCATGGTTGGATGGTTTCAAGGCCTGCAAGAGAAAGACACAGCAGAAAATGTAACTGCACCCACGTTACAATGGACCCGCATACTCTAGAACAAAACTGGTTTATTGAAGAAGGGCCCTGGGGAGATGCCGCAGCTGACCAGCTGTAAAATCTGTCTTCTGCTCGACCATTTCCAGTTGTCACCATAGCTGCCCTGAGCCAGCTTCTGGTTCTTTGGGCTACTGGCTGCAAGTATTGCTACACCACCTTCAGCTCGAGCCTCCTGCTGGCAACAGCACCTCGGGCTCTCTGTGGGACGTGCCTTCCCAGGAAAATGCCCAGGCAGCCGACCCTGCAGCAAGGTGTACCTATAGGTCAAAGCAGTGTCTTCTGAGTGGATTAAGTTACACATGAGGTGCAATTTAGTCATAAAACTTGTTTGGCTGGGAGGGATGCAGTCAATGTGCTAGCAGGCTGAGTCATTAGGGAAGCAAAAGAAACATAACTTGGAGGCTGGGAAGTTTGGCTGGCGGAATATGAGAGCATCAGGAAAAACAGAAGGAGAAAAAATGCAGACAGATGAGAGAAAGGAAGTACTTTACACCACGATGCTAATCGTTCCAGTTAGCTCTCGTGCAAGGTGAGGTTGTTTTGCTCCTTCTTCCATGTCAAATCACTTCTCATCTGCAGTATACATCATCAGTGACACTGCCGAGTAATTGGGCCCCCAAATCCCATGTCAGTTGTACCTCATATTAAGGTGACATTTTTCTCTAAAGGACAAAGTTTCCTTGACTCATACTCATATGTAAATAGGAATACACTTTGCTTTGATATCAACAAAAAGCGAATCTGACCAGTGAGATAACTGTACTTGTTCACAAAACCAGAATACATTAATACACTCATAAAAATAAAAATGAACATATTCATAGAAATGAAAAGGACTAAGTTCTACCTCTGAACCCCCAAACCCTTCCATATCAAAGTACCTGTACGAAAGATTGGCGAGCATGAAAAACACACAAGATGCAGTTTTTAGCCAAAGACTTGGTTTTGTAAGAGTGAAACTTGAACAATGCTTATTAGAGCTCTTCTTACATGTAGAACCTGGGAATCACACAGCTCAATGTGCTCAGTCAGATGCCACTGAGAAACACATGGAACTAGATAATTTGGGCCAAATGTGCAATGGGCAGTTTTGCTGCGACAACAGATGATTTGCTTTTGGAAAAATCAGTCTTAAGGGTTAGATATCTACACACCTGAGGTGCAAGTCTTCATGATCTTACATGCAAAAAGCACAGGAATAACTGTGAGATTCGGGTTCATTGTATTGTTTATGTAGCACATTAGTACACTTAAGAGTAAATGCTTCCAATTCTGCTGGCAATACACACGGATGTCTAACCTGTCCCTACTTATGGCAACATTGCTTACAACTAATGCCAGCTGTATTTTTTCTTTCTTTCTTGTGGATTCAGCTGTTCCTTGAATTCCAACAGAAATGGATCAGAGTAGACTTTTTCCGTACCACATTGTTGAAACTAGTCTCAAGACAGAACTGGAACCATCTGACACAGAACTGAAAAGGACTCACAGGGGAGTATTCAGCTATTCTTTATGTACGTGTTGGACATAATTTGAATGTTTTTTTCCTTGTTCTCACGAGGAACCTATTTCACCTGCAAGAAGGCTGAGCAACAAACAGTGCCAATCCTGCACAACCCCTTCCTTCTGTTTACCCTCCGAGGGGCTCATAATTTTCCCAGGTACACTCAGGATCCAACTCCCTTTTGAATGCGGACATTATACAGAGCCTGATCTTTTTCCCCTGTTGGTGTTTAAGCTTACTATCATAGCTTATCAGACAAATGGGATGCAGGGCTGTAGTGATATTCTCTTTAAACTACAAACGTAAAGCTTGTTGCACCATCCTCTTAATGGCTGTAGGTTTCCCAGCATGGTTACAACGACATTACTCTCCATCACGGTAGCTGATCTCAAGACAGACATTTCTGTTTGTTTGTTTTGAACTCAAGAATAGCTATACTCCTCAGCAGTAGTTGATAGGGATTTCAAAAATGTCTTAGAATAGTATACAGTTCAGATTTCTGTATCATTTCTGCCTGCAAAAGGAAGTGAAAGCTCTGGTAGCATCCAGGCTTGTTTCCCTACTCAGCTGCTGTGCAGCATCCTCCACAAAAACAACTGGGAGCCGAACAGATCTCCTGAGTATGCTGATCAGATGTCAAGAGGTAAAACACCTATTGAGACCCTATTTCCCATTTCTAGTAGTACTGGAATTAAAAACAGGTCTCCAAATAAGCCATGGTAAGGTCTGATCGGAAACCTTTCCCTTCAGATATGGAATCCATACCACTAAAACACTAAATTGTACAGAACCAATTTCAAGTATCGCCTCGGCTATCAGTGGGAATAGCCCAGATATGTTCTGTCCTTGTATGATAAAAGAAGTATCTCTATTTCTTACGGGTATCGTACAATACAGAACATCCTCCGTATTGACTTGGAGTCTGTCTTGAATATGCTGCCCCTGGCCCTTAAGGTATGCTCTTGAGGATAACCAGCTTCAGTGTAATTCTCCTTTTTCCAGTTGGAATTTAACCGTGAGTGGAGTAAAATCCAAAGGCGCGTGCTTCTCAGAAAACCAAAATCCCCCTCGGAGTACTGAACTGGCACAATGCCCTGCACAAGGGGAGCGAGTTAGGCCACGGCCTGCAGGCTGCCTACGGTCTGTCCAGCACATGGTCATGAAAAGCAGGCAGGGATTTTAGGAGGGGAGAAGCAGGGGAGGCTGAGAGGAGCAGCGGGAATAAAAAATGCCGCGCTGACTCCGAACTGCCAAATCTGTGAATGAGTCCAGCTGTGGCTCAGGCTGCACCTGCTAAAGCTGCATGCATCCTTGGGAGACCTGCTGCCCCGTTGAATTTCATTAGAGATGTATTATGAGCAGGGCAAATGATGTTGGTTATGAGATTTCATTCCCGACCTGGGAGAGGGTCTGCCTGGCCTGTATGCTCTGCGGCATTCCGCAAGCCCGACTCATGTGGGTTTGACAGCAGTCACACCAGCTAATTGAAATCAGGAAAGAGTAAGGCCAGAAAATTTGGAGGTGGGAAGGGGTGGTGGTGAGGAAGAGGAACATCTGTTCTTAATTACCCGACAGGTTGTCAACTTTAGGAGCTTGCCCTCAGCAAGGGAACAGTATATACCCATAGGCACAGAGTAGTTTGCTATTGCCTGATGGTTATAGTATCATTTTGAAAACACAGTCTTAGTAGCACCAGATATTATGCATGACCCAAGAATAACACGTGGCTCTAGAAGACACTGGCTTTACCTTTTTATATAATTTAGATTTTCATTGTCTTTGAAAAACAAGGTCTTTTGGGTTTTTGTGATTTAAAAAGCACACAAAAGGAACAATTTGAATTCTAATGTGGACAGAAATCTACCAATAGCTTTCAGGGAAGTAGACTCACCATGGCTTTCAGTAATCTGCTCTAGCTCTCTCTGCAGTACATGGCAGAAAAAATTCAGCTTCACAGTGTCTAAAGAACTATAATGCTCTGCTGCTATAATTCTTCACCCAGCGAGTCTAGAGGATTGGTAGAAGAAAACTAGCATCGTGGTTATGGCCCTGCAGGACTGCACTACAGGCTTAGTTCACAGCAATCAGACCTTCTGCTTCATGTCATCAAAGTAATTTAAACTCGGTGTTTTGCCTACCCATCTCTCGCATTTATTTCTCACTTCTTTTCTACTATAAGCTTTTTCCAGGGCACGGACCACTTCTGACAGTGTGTATGTGACTATCCCAGGCAGAGCAGAGCACTGAAGAGGAAGAATACTCCTTTGGGTCTGGGTCTGCTAGACTTAGTTACCATGATAATAGTAGCCAACACCACAAGACTACTTATTTGTGAAGATGGAGCTAAACTACGACATTTTGAAGGCGGATGCTACTATCTGCAGGAAAGCAGAACCCCAATTTGGCAGACAAAAAATTGACTCCGTATGTTAGAAAATCTTTTGATGCACAGTGTAACACCTTAGGGGAATTACCCAAAGATGGATAACTCACAGACAAAGCTGGAACTCCTCTTTCACCCAAGCAATACCTGTTAGCTACTCTTCAGCTGTGTGCACTGTTCGTACCTCCCTCTCATGCCTTAGTGTCAAACATAGCTTTAAACTTCAATTAAACTTAATTTTGCCACTTCAGAACCACTGGTATTTAACTCATCTTGGGATGTGTGACTTGCAGGACCATTTCTATGGCTTACTGTTTCTTTCCATAGATTTGAAGATACTCCGGGAATTAAGCCCTGAGGTTATGGAGCACATTAAGGATTTTCCAGTTGCAGGTGCTAACAAAGGCTTTTTATAAGGAGTACAAATGTTTCTATTACAGTGCTTCTTTACCATTACTCTACTTTTGGTTTCTTAGAGTTTCTTTATCTCCATGAAGATACAGTACACTTTTTGCTGCTGGAGAATCTGTGTTCTCAAAGTCCCGCCTCGACTCCCAAAGAGAGACTTGCTTTCTGTCTTAAATCTGTTATTTCCCATCAGCTCCTGACAGGATTAAATTTCAGTAGGAGCAAGGAGAGACCAGTAACAAGGGCTTCTAAAACCACTACCTCCAAACCTGTTTTTGAGAAAGCCTTGTTTGCTCTTGAGCGTGGATGTCATTGAGCAATCTCAGGTCTGACCCAGACTTTCCTACAGGCAAAGGGGGGCTGTTCCCAGTCTCTGCATCAGCTGTCAGCTAACCCAGAAATATATGCTATGTATTGATTATTAAGAGAGAGCTTTGCTGCCTCAGAAGGTAGAAACCTATTCTGCATATCTGCCAAATGTTTTTTAAAAAAAGGAGATTTCTAGTGATGGGGTTGAAATGGTTATTCTCTAGCAAGTGCATCGGCTCTTCAACTGTCATTTACTTCTTTGAGAGCCAAAAAAGCCAGACCTGATAACCTCAGGAAATGGGAAGTTAAATACTTTTGGACTTATGATGAGACACCTTCAAGCCCTTCCAAGAAGCTGCTACACATTTGGGGTTTTTTCCCCTATCATCAGGAATACAAAGGAACTTGACTGAAATTGTCCTCCAGTAGAATCACTGATTGTCCAATGAGTACTTGACTCTTTATTTCTTTTGAACTACTGATGGTAGCCCATAGGAAGTGTCTCATTTTAAGTGAAGAATATTTTAGGGACCAGGATCAGCCAAGCTGGAGACACTTTTTTTTTTTTTAACTCCTTTGAAGTGGAGTATTTTAACTCTTCTGGTTTAAGTATCATGTACTATTTCCTCCTAAACAAAAATCAGAGTAACACTTTTTTATGGTGGGAACGAAGTTTTTATAACTAAAGCTGCCACTGGAAATGCTAACCTGGTCTTAAAAAGAGGGATACAGAAGGCATTTTTATAATTTATGTGTTCTTGAAGTTAGAATGGAAGAAGCCCAGGTCTGGCATTTTTAAAATTTCTAACCTGTGTGCTGAGTTACTGGTTTGACAGAGCACACTTCCTAAAAACAATAAAAGGCCCAATGCAATGTATTAATAGGTAATGGCTCTATCTCTTCCTATTCCCTCTCATTTTTGACTTTGATCTGTGTCCTGGGTTTGCGTGAGTGGTGGGGCTTTTTGGTAGCAGGGGAGGGGGCTATCGGGGCGGCCCCCTGTGAGAAGCTTCTCGAAGCTCCCCCAGCTCCACGTCAGCTCCACCTCTGCACCAAAACTGAGCCAATCAGCTGCACCTCTGCAAGAACGTATTTAAGAAGGGACATGGTGATGAGCAGTGGGACTGGTGAGGAGGAGTTGCTGCAGCTGCGTGAACACCAAGGTCAGTGGAGGAACGGAGGAAGAAAGGAGGGGGGAGGTGTGCCGGAGCAGAGACCCCCCCTGTATCCTGTGGGGAGATGGCAGGGCAGCCCCCGCTGCCACCCATGGAGATCTGCGGTGGAGCAGACACTGATTGATGGCCTGTGTTTTACACCTGGTTGATCAAGGTGCTGTGCCCAAAGAAGGCCGGGGTCTCATGGGAAAAGGCAGCCCCGCTGCTGTAATTCAGCGCTGGGAGGATTGCAGCATGCGGGGGTGTCCCACGCCGGAGCAGCTCGGGAAGGGCTGCAGCCGTGGGAGGGACTCCAGTTGGAAAAAGTTGGTGACCCACGACAGAGCAGTGTAAGGAAACGCTGTGGCCCATGGGAGAGACTCACGTCAGAGAGGGTTTATGGAGGACTGTCTCCTGTGAGAGGGGGACCACGATGGAGCAGGGGGAACAAGTTCCAGAATCTCCCCCCACCGAAGATGACAGAAGTGGCAGCACTGACTGCACCCCCCATTCCCTGCCCCTGCGCCGCTGGGGGAGGAGGTAGAGATATCGGGAGCAGAGCTGAGCCCGGGAAGAAGGGAGGGGTGGGGGAAAGGTGTTCTCAAGATGTGGCAATGCTTCTCACTGTCCTACTCTGTTAAGTGTTGTTGTTAGTGTCTGCAGTAAATCTATGTTCTTTTTTACTTCCCCTAATGTCCTAATGAGTCTGCCTTTTGCTTGTGACCATAATGGGTGACCTGCTCCTCCCGGTCCTATCTTGAACCCCAAGCCTGCATCATCTGTCCCTTCTCATTTCTGGAAGAGATGGGGGAGAGAGTGGCTGTGTGGTGTTTGGCTGTCGACCAGGCTCAAACCACAACAATCCAAAACCTGAAAGCCTGCCATTGCAGTTGGAGGTAGTCAGGTAAGTCACCTCCTCCTTCAAACAGAGACTCTTCAGCTTGCTTTCTGTGGGCTCTCTCCCCCTGGGTACATTCCTCCACCCATCATTTTCAAAGGGTGACTCCCTTTGGTCCCTTACGTTGCTGAAATGACATACAAATTTTGGAACGAAGCGCTAAGGCTTCACTCTGGCAGGAATAAAGACTTTTGAATGTGAGGTTACAATGAGTCCAAAAGTACTACCTTTACTGACATTTCCTGTAGGCACTATTTGTGCGTACCCCTCATTTTAGGCCCGCCTCAAATAACGCCTTCTACTTTTAGTTTTCGGTAGACTCTGGGGGGTTCCATGCTGCTAATAATGACATTGGGCATTTGATTTTAAGGAGCTGAGTTCATCCAGCTAAGTCACAGGGCTAGGAGCACATCACCCTTTCTTGCTACTTACATGCAGTTATCTCATAAAAAACAGAGGATATTTCAAAAGTCAGTTGGCCAGGATCCATCGTTTTCGGGTCCTTCTGGTCTGTCATAGAAGTGATTCATCTGACTCTTCTCCTTACACTCAGAGTGTCCCAACCACTCCTAGAGCTCTACAGAGCCTCTCTGTCATTGTGACAGTCGTGCCTCATGAGGCACACGTTTTTCCTAGAGTGTGCTATGCTGACTGACCCCAGCGTGGGTCTGGCACCACGGACTCCTTCAAGGCATAACAACTACTGTCTAATAAGCAATTTTCTGGATCTGGCTTGTATTATGTCTATTAAACAGGTTAATAACAAGTTCACACATCATAAGCACTATTCAGGAAATGTTTTATGGCGATTTGGGTTCTGGACAAAAAACTAATACCATGTAATATTTTTTTAATTACCTTTACAAGCCTTTCTTTTTACTAGCTGTTCTAACCATTACTTCTTGTAGCACGAGACAAAGATAACACTTATTTATTAGATCTGAACATGTAACAAATGACCAGCTGCCTTCTTTCACTGATGCAGGAAAGAAAACGCATAGTTTACCATAACAGAGAGTGCAAAAGAGCCAATAAAGACCATACCTTTGGAATTGGGAATTGGCATTCCCCTGAGCAATAATAGGCGTCGAAGGATTTAGGGGAAATAATCCACTCGCTCCAGCCAATGTCTGCAAAATCCACCTTGAGATAGCGCCGGGCGCAATACCTTGGCTCATTCCACTGCTTCCTCCTCGCCTTCTTCAGTGTTTGCTCATCAAACTGGAGAGTCTGGCTCTTCTGGTGATGATTCTTCCTAGGCTTCTTCTTGCTCTTTGCCCTCTCTGCTAAACGTGGCTGGAAGGTTTTGTAGGGTTTTCTGTCTTCCCATCTCTCATTCTCATTGTACTGGTACTCGGCTCCTGGAAGCTCATTATTCTGTAACGGCAACAGGATGTTTGCGGAGCGTTTTCGCCGCCGCTTCCCAAGGCTGCTCCTCACATGGTTTTCTGGCCTGGGAAAGACCCTTGCCAGAGGATGACGGTGCCCTTGCAAACTAGAGACAACGCTCTCTGGCTCTGAAATAGCAGAATCATTGGCATAAATCAGAATGTAGGGTTCATAGCGAGAAAGTGCCCTTTTCCAGGGGTGATGGCTGGTCAGATCCATTTTGACACTGATCAGAAGTTCATTGTTTTGTTTAGCTTCATGCAGGAGCTGAGTGATATCCTTCCACTGCCAGGAAAGGACATCCCGGTAAGCAGTGGAGACATTTATTAGGAAATGTCCAAGGCTCCGACTCTGGTTCCCAACCAAAGGAAAGGTCCAAACTGAAAGATGTATCTGAATTTCAGGTTTCCCGTGCCCGTGACGAGAACAGCTTCTGGATTGGGAACAGTTCCATCTAGCACGCAGCAGATCACCAATATAATAATAGACTGAAGCTGACAAGACGTTTTCAGACTTGGTGAGTGACGTCAAGTTAAAAATGTACATCTCCTGTCTGTCAGAGCTCCCTAGAAGAAGAAATACTTAGATAAGAATATGGGCATTTCAAAATGTTATAGAGAAAGGACTGAGCACATTGATTTCTAGGTTATACATTAAGTTCACGGGAAATGTCCATGCAGTGCTGTGAGAACAGGTTTAGGCCACTGTTCAGAAAAATAACCAAGCTGGTAAACTGGTGACCATAAATCACACACTGTCAATCCGGTTTCCTTGTAATGCCCATCTCCATCTAGAAATATTCACACATTTCCTACTGCTCCTCTGAGTTCATGGAACAAACCAGGTCGCAGGAACACAGCTCGATAACATATGTGCTAAAGACTTTATCTATCACCCAGAAATTTGAGCGGCACCATAGTAACGTTTTGATCTTCTATCCTCCTCTTTCTGTAACATTTCCAACCTGCTCCCTCTCAAAATGCATTTAGGTGACTATGGCCACGCTGTCGTGACTAAAGAGGAAAAGCCTGGATTCAAACAGGGCATGAGTCTTAGTGTTGTCACAGGGTTTGAAGTGTACTGCCAGGTGGTATAAGTTACTTAAGCTCTGATTGCCAAGCTATTCAATGCAAAAAATCCTAGCTGGTTCCTTTAAACCCTCTGCTCTGCTCCACTGCGATCTGGGCCTCACTTACAAGACGGGGACTTCGAGGCCTGGGTGACATTTACTCTTAGCTTCTAAAGATGTCAAAGTGACTATTAAAGAGGGACCCAAAACCACGTAACGTTTGGTACAGCTACCTACATATATTGGGATGCAAAACAAGTAAGCAAACATAGAAAGTGCTATGTATTTCAAAGGCTAACCGGAAAGACAAATTGAAATTCCGTGTTACAAAGGATGTTTCCTCTCAATATTAACCACACCTCCATTTCAACAAGACCAATTTATTGGACCCTCAAGTGGTCAGTGACCTCTGCATGTGCAACTGGGGCTTCAGGATCCAGAGCCGTTCACAAAGGCAAAATCAGAGCTGGGCACAGAAGGAAGTATGAAGTTATTGACAACAACCTTGTGCACAAAGAAGCCATGTGGCTTGCCTCTAAAGACATGGAGAGAGGAAACACCAAGAAAGAATCCCTATTTAATCATTTTTAAGGCTTGGATGTCAGCTCTGGAGAAAGAGATGATTCACCATTTAACGTGAGCTAAGGACAGACAGGCTGGTCTGACAGACTTTTGGCTAGGTCTGACACTCATCACAACTGAAGTTTCCCTCTAGAATAACCAAGCCCAGGACTACTTCAATTACATAGGGTAATTTTAGACATTCCACTCAGGACATTTCATCAATTTTCCTGCCAGTAAGAGTTAGAAAGTATTTACTAGTATAGCTGAAGGTGTGTGGACAGTACTAGAGCAACCCCAATAACCAACAGAAAGACAACCCAACATGCCAAAGTTTTGGGCAGGGATGTGGGGGGCGGTGGGGTGTTGGTGGCAAAACACACCCGGTGCAGAGGGAAACAAGCCAAGGACAACCCTCCTTCATGGTTGGGATGTTACTGTATCGATTAGGAGGGATGCAGGGGAGAGTGGGGTTTCCACAGCTGTGAAATTAAAGAAGTCAACCTAACCACAGGTATCTTGCACAAACCCAAAGATAAACTCCTAACACAGGCTGATCTGGGAAAACAGATGGCTGACTACTTTAATCCCCTGCAGGGTGCAACAGAAAGGCTTGGGGGTAAGGTTTAATTTTTGTTTTAAAATTTCCTGCTTGGACTGCAGTTACGTCTGTCCTTCAGAGCGAGAGAAATATAGATCCAAATGTTAAGGTGCAATTGAGAGCTATAAAACCAGGCTGTATGGAAAAGTCAAATATAGTAAAGCAAAGGTATGGTCTGCAGACCCCCAAGGGGCTGGAAACAACCCAACACATTAGGAAAACTAGAGAACATGGAATTAAATGCTGCTTTGACACCACAGCATGTCAAAACCCTCTCTGGAGGCTAAAGAGAAATAATAGTTTACAGACTTTTGCAAGGGTTTTTCTCCTTTTTAAATTTTATTTTTATTTTGTTCCAAGCATAGAGATGCCCCTGGACTAGGGGAGAACAGCCTCTCCGCTTCCACCCTCAAAACACTGTAATAAATCCCCTACCCAAGTAAGTGAAAATATCATTTTCAGTACTGATCTTTCAAAGATATTGACAGCGTTATGTTCTGGGTGACATTCTGTGCTTCCAGCCTGTAACACCCCAACTGTTAATGTCATTCAGATAAGTCCAGCAAAATACTGTATTCTCCCTCTGCCTCCTCAGCCCCAGCCCAACAATGTAAGTGGCTGCCTCTTCTAAACTTTTTTGTTTGTTTGTTTGTTTGTTTTTGGTTTTGTTTTCTGATCGATATTCTAACTGATACATTTTAAAAAAAAAAAAAAAGCAGGAACTGGTCTCACTAGAAAGACAGAACCCTTTTCCCCAGTATATCACATGCATTGCTTCATGAAATTAGCTAAAAAACAACAGATGCTTTTCTCAGTGAAACAGGGAGAAAAAAGGCCAAATCATTTATGGAACACAGCCCTCTTTACACACTCAGCCCCGCCTGATGGTGGATCACATGGGTAAGCTCCCCAGAGCTGAAAACTAACATACCAAAGCCATCCAGTTTCTAGCTATTACTTATGCCTGGGGAACTAGATTTTCTTTGAATTCAATCCTACTTTTAATCCCTCAAGCCAAAACTGGCCACTTATTACATTTGTTCTAAGCACACATGAGGACCTGACCCCTGCTTGGTTTGTAATCACTAATATAATAAGGTTAATACGAAATTTGTCAGAGCATTAAGAACATCAGTCTTAGGAACCAGAATTTATGATGTCTCATGAGCGCCTGTTAAAGAAGTTATTTGAATCACTGTTGTATGTTGAATGACAAGTTTCGATTTTAATTTTTAATAAGAATTCCAGTTAACAAATACTGCCTGTTCTAAATTGGCATACTGTAGTGGAACACAAAACAAACTGCTTTTTTTTTTTTAGAAAGAAACCCTAGATGGCGTGAAACAGACACAGGAGGAATATATAGTTTTGATTAAAAGCAAAACTCAAGAAGCCACTCAGTATTTACCTCTACACCCAAGACTACGTACTTGCAGTAGGTGGTGCTATTTTCTTACTTAATGATCACCAAGCTCAAAAGGCTCTGAAGCGTTTTCGTCTCATTCAGCCTGCAAAATCATCTTGAAACCAGTTACTAGTGGCCAGCACAGATGTCTATGGGGTTTCTGGCTTCCGGCTCAGAAAAACCCAACTGCATGACCCAGGCTTCTGTCACAACTTAGGAACGCTGTGTCAAATATATCCATTTTGTGATAGCGATACCTGACTCTCCGATGCGAGCAATGCACTGAAATAAGCATTCCCCTGGGCTAGTCATTACCCTTAAAAATGATAGACCCGTCAAGGAAGATTCAACTTTAAAATACCTACAAAAGTCACCTCTTCCTCAGGAAACCTTCATCTCACTGAAATGAAACTTCGTCCTTAAAATCAGAGGACAGAAACTGCTGAGAATCTCTTCCCACAATACTGTAGTTTAAACTATTAGCCAAGGTCAGGAGCACAGTTTAAACTTTTCACTAATGTCAGGAGGTATCTTGCAGCATCTAACCGAATTTTACAGTGTTGCGGGAAGCTTTTCATAAGCCTCATCCAGTGTACTTTACTGACACCAGTGAGGTCTTACTGACCAAGGTGAGCTGAGGCTTTAGTCTTTAGAATGACTTTACACTGATAACTCCTCTTATGGGAACAGTTTGATTGACCGATTTCCCCCCTCGCTAATCCCAAAGAACCTCAAACAAAAACACAAGACAAATCTAAGTAGGGCTTTCATTCTAATACCTTGTCAATGCTCAGTGAATAGTATTTCCTAGGATTCTGCCATCAACAGCTCCATGTTAAATGGAGGGGAGAAAGGGGCCAGACTACAGGGTGAAGTCCACCAGCAGTGGCTCAGCAGCCAGTGGAAAGAGGCTGACTGACCGAGCCCAGCTAAGGTCTCTGGCCAATTTGTCCTTCTATAACAAAACCTTTAAGGTCTCAAAGGCAACAAGATCTCCTTGCAAAGGAGAAAGTCAGGATATAGTCAGCTTTGCAGGTGAGATCAAGAAAAACACAGGCCTAAAAGCCTATGCCCTGTAAGATCATGGTATCACAATAGCTTTTTTCTTATGTTTTCATTATCAAACAAAACCAGTGAAAACAGCAGCTTTGCAGCAGCTTTCTTTGCGCTAGTTGCCCAGACAAGAAATGGCCCGATGCAGAGACAGACGAGGAACTGATGCTGAAGTATATGACCCTTCAGATGGATGCTGGACCCCTCTGCCTGGGCTGGCTCTTAGGATACAGCAGCAGCAGGAAGATCTTAGGAACCCCAGGCGTCCCTGCAGTGCAGGCAGCTGCTGGAGCAAACCCACAGTCGGGTCCACCACCTTACTGCCTGACAAGAATCTGTCTGCTACCTATGAGCAGCTGTATCTCATGCTCATTTGCAGCAGTATACAATGCAATTCAGTGGCAACTCAGTATTATTTGAGCAGCAGTAAACTTCCCTGGCTCACTCCATACACTTCCCAACTCTGCAAGCATCAGATTTCTACCCGATCACCACTACTTCAGCGAAGACTTTTAGTTCTTTCTTACTTGAAGTGAGTTCTGCTAACTCAGCTTTGCTCTTCTGTAGTAAAAAACTGGAAGCGCAGAAGACTTCTCAGCAACAAAGCACTTAAGGAGGAGAAGATTTAAGAGTAAATGACCAAAGGAAAAATATGTGCAACAGAGCTATATGCAAGCTATACACTGCTACCTTCCAGATACTGCAAGGCCAGATTTTAACGGCAACCTCTGCTCCCCTTCAAGGGCTCACTGTATGTTGTTGCCAGCCTGACGAGGAATTTACAAGACCGAGCTCTGCATGACAGAACTCTTTTGAATTGCAGCAGGTAAGTCACAGCATCGCTGCAGTTAGTATTGCTCGCTTCTACAGTGTAGAG